TAAAACATGGTTAATATTTAAACAATGCCTGTAGTCCTCCCTGCATGCAGTTATCACCTGGAGGCAGTGGTGTGTATGCTTGCTTGTACTGTATGTGTTTGAAGGTGAGACTGGTGGGGATGTTGGGCAATTTGGATGACAGGACATGCAAATTTCAAGAGAAGTTAAACCCAGTAACTACTTGGAGGATAAAAATGTTTACAGCTTGTTGAGTTAGAAATCTGTGCTTGCATCTGCGATATGGCAAAGGAAGGGTTCTCTTTCTGAGTCTGGCTTACCTAACTTCAATGAATACATAAAGAAATACTGAGAAAAAAAGTGAGAGGAGATCAATTTTTTAATTCTCCTAATGCCAGTCAAGGCCATCTTTGCTAGAAAAGGAGTTCACCTATGGTTATTTACCACTTTGTTTCCCCTGGATTGTTGATAGAAGGAGCCAGAAGCATGTTACAGTCTTAATTATATGCAGTGGCATCCTTTCTTGGAAACCAATTCTTTGACGGCTATTCAAACATTTGGAAAATGTACGAAAGAGAATATTCTACAAAAAGCTCAACAAAAAGAGTCCTTACTAACCTGCAGAGTGTAAGGCAACTGTGCCCCTAAGTGCATCCCTCTCCCAAGTAACTAGTAGTTCTAGATTCTTTGTCTTGGTTCCAGGCATATGTGCTCTTTTCCAGAGAAAATATTACCTCTGAGGTTTTAGGTCATCTATTAAATTGCCCAAGCTCAGTTTGCAGCTTTTATAAAAATAATTTAATAAGCTTAATTTTAATCATCCATGAGATATTCATTCAAGTCCTTCCCTGAAGCACAGAGGATCATCATTTAAGCGTGCCATGTTGTAATATTAGGAAGACCAGGTATAATCTTTGGGTACAATATATTAAACAATGAACCAGATTCTCTCCGGTGCCTTAGTCACTTCCTAGTAATGGGTAAAAGAGTACATTAATTTCCTCAGGCCACTAGAGATTCTTTTAGTGTATCAGCTATATGTTGTATATCAGAATGACTAAGGCACTGTGAAGAAGAGAGTCCATTAATTTTTGTAGCTCACCCTCATCTGACTGTAGCTCTTTAATATCTTATTACGTAGTGACTTTTGGGCTTGAAATTTGAATAGAATCAGAGACTCAGAAGAAAGCGTCTTCATTTCCAATGAGCTCTACTGAGTGCATGAATATTACTTTCTCCCCCTTATTTGGTGCACTCTTTACAGTGAATATTTTCCCATTTTATTAAAGCAATAAGATGTTCTGTTGTGAGCAATGCTGGATGATGATTCCATTTCCTTGGTGCTGAAGCTACTCATACATTCTTGCCTTATGAATCATAGTGCATTCAAGGCATGCAATAATAATCCCCTTCCGAGGAGCAGCCTGTACACTCTTGGGGGTAATTATGAAATTGTCCTATGTAATTTTTCCCCAGAGGAATAAAAAAAAACAGGAAAAATAAAAAGCATTATGTGTATTGTTTTTAAAAATATCTTGATACCTCTAACCATGGGCACACATCCATAATATGCTCTTATTGTTCACCTTTAAATATGTGTGCCTTTCTCCATTAATTGACTATGGTTCAGTATTTTTAACAGTGCTTTGTGTAAAGATGACGTGGTTTGTGAGTCAAATTTCACACTGAGTTTAGTACACTCAGAGCCCTAAGCTTCTGGTAGTATCACTTGAGATTTTTTATGAGATAGAGAATTACATGAAATTCTAGTAATGTCAGTCTCCCACCAATTTATTGCCATAAGCGCATACCCAAGAAATTTGCACAGGCCCTGTTTAAAGCATTGCTTCTTACAAAGCTCAATTGACAGTCTCAGGAGTTTGGGATGCAACCAACAGGGCATTTTGGATTTCATTTATGTGAAACAAAAGGCAATCTGAAAATAGCTAAACTTATTTTAAAGATTTTATTCACTGATGTCCCGTCAAACTAATTGCTTCAAATCCCTTTAGCTACAGCTCAACTTCTGCACTTGCTATTCAGTATTAATAAGGTGGCATGCTTAATTCTTATTGTTTTTAAAAATGAGAAAATTGGAGAGAGAATACCATTATGTCAACCATGTGGGACTCTGAATCTTAAAAATGTAGATGGATATAATCTTCTTTAGAATTTATATACACCCATAGATATGTATTTATATATACATACATTTTGTACAAATTTACAATGGACTTTTTGTATTCTCTTTTCTGTCATTACTAGAATGAGATGGAAACCAAATAGATGTTCCATCCTCCTATCTGGAGAAGATATTGAGAAGTCAGGTATATGCATGTACATATTTCTCTGAGGTCAAATCTGAGTGACTTTCTCTTTATTTAATGAAAAGGGAGAGTCCTGGTTGGCTCGGGAAATTGGTAATTAGATAAGCTTCTTTTCCTAGTTAGTGACTCAAATGTAGCAATGATAATGAACTTATGACCATATCTATGTGGTCTAAATATTTAGATGGAAAGCAAAAATATCTAGAAGAGGTTTAGGACCACCTAGACCACAAATCTGTATTGTTGCTCAGTTTTTGATTTTCAACCTATATGTTGTGTGGAAGTACAACTTATATCTGCATAGCTAAAGGTAAAGTGAAAATATGACCATTATATGTTTAGTTTGATAGGTAGTTTTGAAATATGAATAAATTAGCTTTAAAAAACTTTGGCATCTGACTTTTCCACCATTTCTATCTATATCAATTGAATTAGATAATCTTTAAAATGCCATTTTTTTTCCATTGTGCAGACATATGCTTTAAATGCTTTTCTGTGGATGACTGTTGAACAATTGCTAGCTGATATTATGTGGAAGTTATAGGTTAAAGTAGAACCAGAAACTTTTATGTAATCAGGTTCACTCCCATGTGAATCTGGACTTCAATTCTAAATCTGAAAAGCCAAGCCATCCTTTGTTGGATCTAATGATATAACTTACAGATATTTTAGTTCATATGAGAATGAACTGACCCATCTATAGAGGGGCATTTAATTATTGGATTGAACATAAACCTGATTCTGATTTGGTTTTTGATTTACTTGATAAAATTTAAGAAATAGCTTTGATGGTTTGATGTCGACACATTAATGTCACCAACTTAATAATACAATAGATGCCATACAGGAATGCTTAGCTAAGAATAAGAATTTAATTAACTTTAATTGGGGACAATATCTTATCATGGTGGTCCTATCTGTTTGAGGCAGGGACACTTGTGATTTCATTGAGTTGTTTTTTAAAGAGAGATTAACAATAATCATGACAACAAGAACAAAAACAGAAAAACTGATTTTTCGAACTTGAGTATACCTAACAGAAAGAATAAAACAGATATTAGAATTCATGGAAAATTTGTTTTGCTTTTCTATCAATAAAAGAGTTTTCTTTTTAAATGGCTTTTTGAACACTATTTCCTTATTAATTTAATTTATGACATAGCAGTATTATAAAATTACTCATTCTATTACCCTCGGATGCTCAAAGAATTTTTAAAAATTCTATCACGTATCTGACCTTTCTCACAAACTAACTG